GGAGAGAAGCAAAGGATCTGAACCTATCAATAAATGACTTTTTGAAAATCCACTCTGCCACTTTGGGGTTTTCTGAAATCCTGAGATGTCGACATGGACTTTGCTTTTTTTGATTTGTTTTAGTTTATGTTGCTGTGATTTGCTTCTACTCTGAGAGGAGCAGTTATCCTTGGTCTTTCTAGAGTCCACCTAGTAAGATCTTAGACCTGATGTATATAGAACTTGAAGCTTACCCAAAATCAGGAATATATTTGTAAAATAAATGTCAGAAGATACATTTAAAGATTAAGTACAAATCAGTTTGTAAAAGCCACAGGTGGTGCTATGGTTTAGCACTTAAAAGAGCGGGAAAGAAAATCTGGTCTATGAGACATTATAAGCAGCTAAATAGCACTAAGTGGCATCATGGGGACAACAAACTGGCTTTATTTTTCTATTTGATGGTTAGGAATGTTTTCTGGTTACTCTAGCCATATCCATTTTTTGTTACTGCAGTAGCAAAGGTTTAGAATTACAACCTTATTTGGAAAAGCTATAAGCTATCCCCCAAATCCAGATGCAATGAAAAATAGGACACTTAATACATCAATCTATGTAAGAATAATGTAATATTTCATCAAAWAATGTATTCTGGGGCTGGGAGTAACATTTCATTTACCGTTTAGCATGCTGCCTATCTTAAGGAGTTTTATCAGGGTTTATATGACAACACAAAGCAAAAACATGTTGAATGTAATAATTTGAAGAAATATAATAAAAATCTTTTAATTCACCAATTGAACTGGTCATACTTTGTCTGTTTCCTCAACTATATACTTAATTCCTGCATTATTTTCTGTTTTTATCATTGAGGCAATTCCTGCATTATTTTCTGTTTTTATCATTGAGGCTAAGAATAGTATTAAGAATTGGCTTTGCTATATTTTTATGACACCAATTGGGCAAGTTCCCAGTGGCTGCAAAACTGGTATCCGAACAAAATTAACTTAGGTGTAGAACTAAACATGAAAAATTAATCTCTTTTTCCTCCAACTCCATCTTTGCCTCCTTGAGCTATCTCATTTCGTATGTACATGTTGGGGCAACATTCACTGTGTGAATGTGGATGTAGATTTGATGCCAAGCAGAGCAAGCTTAACTTTTCTGATGGGAGTGCATAGTAACTACCCTAATACCTAGATCTGTTGACTCCTAACAGCATCAATTGAAATTTAACTCAGTACAACTTTATGGTGCTCATAAGGAGCTGCAACATTTTCCCTCTGCCTATCATTTGTGTACAATACAAAAATGTTTTAAAAATTTGGAATAGATGAATAACCTCCTGTGCCTATCATTTAGAGTAACTAGCGTATTTCCTTTTTTACATACTTGATACATTCTGACAAAATACTTTTGAAATATGATCTAGATTAGTAAATTCAAGTAGTATGTACATTTTAGTATAACCTTGCAAGTTTGCAAGGTCCTCCAACCAAGTTCTGGAATAAGGTACTCAAGACAGCCTTGGCAAAAGCATGATGGTCGCACCAACTTTTTCCTTTTGCAATTCTAGGGATTGAATCCAGGGCTGTCTCATGCACCCTGTCACTGAGCTATTATAGCCTTAGCCCTGGTTACACCAGATTTGAACTTGATGCTGTTTTCCTTGAGTTTTGGAAAGGAAGAAGGGTTAGGATTGTGACTAATAAAGGAGAGTAGGACCAATTTTTTGCAGTTCTTTTTTTGGGGGGGGAATCTGTGAGCCACAGTTCAGTCTCAGTTCTGCCATTATATTGAGGAAGCATCCATAGATAATTTGTAAACAGCTGGGAATGCTGGGCTCTTCATAAAACTTTTTCACCTGTCAAAAATGGATTTTTTCCAACCATTTAAAATGTTTTAAAAAACCACATATCTGTGAACTACAGAAACAGGTGGTAGGCTGGGTTTGACCAGTAGATTGTACCACCAGTAGTTCCACCAATTGAACTGGTCATACTTTGTCTCTTTCCTCAACTATACACTTATTCCTGCATTATTTTCTATATCATCGAGGCTAAGAATAGCAGTCTAGGAATTGGCTTTGATATATTTTCACTTGCTGCAAAATTGAGATCTGAACTAAAATTAACTAAGATGTGGAACCCCTTGAAGTGATTACTGCTCTTGTGCAAGGCCTTGGGTTCAAGTCCCAGTATCAAAAATTTGTGTCAYAAGCTGGGGTTGTGGCTCAGTGGTACAGTGCTTGCCTAGCATGT